GAGTCAAAACTTTTACAGCTGCAAATGGAAAAAGCAAATTTAGTCCTACGGTTTCAAGGGGTCCCAGAAATTAAAGGAGAGAATCTGAAACAATGATTGAGTGAAGCATTAGCCCCAATGACAGATTGGACAGCGAAGTACCTTCATAGTGAGATGGATGTGGTCTACAGGTCCTATTCATCATATATCAAGAAAAATAATCTGCCTGGGGAAATAGTAGGCAGATTCTTGAAGAGACATGTGAGAGATGCTATCTTGAAAGCAACTACAGGAACACCCTTGAAAATTGGGGACAATAACATCAGGATTTTAGAAGACATTCCATTTGACATAAGACAGAAGAGAAAGAACTATAAAGAACTGATCCTTTTCTTACAAACAAATGGCATCAGTTACAAATGGCTAATTCCAGAAGGTGTCATTTTCAAACTCCATGATAAAAAAGAAAAGATTGACTCTGTTTTCAAAGCACGTTAATTTATGTGAACACAGCTCGGGGAACCAGATGAGGACGGAAAGGAAGAAGAAGGAAGCAAATCAGATGGCGAGCTAGGCTCGGGGTCGTCGGACGAGGACTCCCCTTCTGAAAAGGGGGAGGCTGCCCCCAAAAGTCCATATAAATTGAGGATTAGAAAAGATAAGAATAAATAAGGGCTGAAGGACTCTGATTTGTGCCTGAAAAAATGTTGAAATAACTTTGGGATGCTCTGGGGATTTCTTTAAACAGTTAAAGGGACTTCTGGTTGATGGTGGCATGCTAACAGTCTCACCTCCCGTACCTCTCGGGGGTGAGGCTGTGCTCTAGCCGGGGGAGGGGGTGCGCAGGCTCGCAACCCCCCCCCCAGGGACCCGGTGAAGGGACCCTGGCCAAGGAACTCTCAAGAGGCGGCTTCTTTGAGGGCGGAATGCCTAAGAATTGAGGCGCCTCTTCATTCCAATGGTTCCTCGCACTGAGAGACCGAACAAAACTAGTGACGCTGACCGGGGCAAGCGCAGGAGATCCAGCATCTAAAATGAAGCTTTAAACGGGGTCGCAAGACCAGCAATGAACGTGAGTCAACTCAAGGCATTTTAAAGTTTAAAAGGCAGCTCCCCACCCTACTAGACTGAACTGGGGAAAAACAAGCGGGGGGAGGGATGCCTCCCGATCGCACGAATATTTAAGTGAAAGGGGGGGGAGCAGAAGAGAACGCGAAGAAAACTGCATAAAGGCACTTACCCGAGCAAGTTTTAGCATTCAGGCGCAAATTCAGAGACTTTTGAAAAGTTGGAGAAAGTAAACAACTAAAAAGATGGCGGGGAAGAGGGACAAAGAAAGACTTGTTAAATCGAAACTTGAAAGTCCGAAACCGGAAGCTACCAGTGAGATGGCGAAGTCTGTAGCAGAGTACATGCGCCCTCTGCTGGAACAGCTGAATAACTTCAAAGATCAAATGTCAACAGTGACACAGAGTATAACTACAACACAAGCACAGATAGGCGATTTGATACAAATCATGAAGCAGGAGGCTGAAAAGGTGAAGGAAGTGGCTGCATATGCAGAAAGTAAAGAAGAAAGTTCAAAAGCTGGAAGAGAAGACAACTTCTTTGGAAGATCAAATGCTACAAGTACAAATGGAAAAGGCCAACATGGTTCTTCGCTTCCAGGGCATGCCAGAAAAACCAGGAGAGAATCTTAAAGAAGTTATGAGTGAATTGCTAGCCCCAGTGACAGAAATGAAAATGGAACTGTTGCTAAACGAAATGGATGTGGTCTATAGATCATATTCAGGATATATAAAAAAGAATAATCTGCCTGGGGAAATTGTTGTAAGATTCTCGAAGAGGCATGTGAGGGATGCAATCCTGAAAGCGGTTTCTGGAGCCCCCCTGAAAGTGGGAGAAAGTGTTATCAGAATGCTAAAGGATATTCCATTTGAAGTGAGACAAAGGAGAAAGAAGTACAAAGTGTTGGTGCTTTTTCTTCAGACAAATTCAATTGGATATAAATGGTTGTTTCCAGAAGGAGTCACTTTCAAGATCAAAGATAAAAAAGAAAAGATTGACTCTGTTATAAAAGCCAAAGAATTTTTGAAGGCTCAGCTGGGAAAATCAGAGGATGAACAAAAAGAAGAGGACAGCAAGTCTAGCGGCGAGTTGGACTCTGGCTCTTCCGGAGAGGACTCTCTATCTGAAAAGGGGGCAGCTGCCCCAAAAAGCCCTTACAAGCTATGGGAAAGACAGGGGGAAAAGAAGTAAAGGCTGAAGGACTCTGAATGGTGCCTTGGAAGATGATGAAAAGGGATGATTTGGGGGCAGTGTCTTTAGACAGTGAAGTTGTAAGAGTTTTACAAAGAAAAAGTATTATTGATTTTTGACTCAGTTTGTTATATGCTTAAAAGAAGGGAAGGTTTTTTTTTTTACTGTAACTAAGCTAATGAAGATGTCCTTCCCTGGGTTTTTAGGCAGTTGTGGGTATATTTTCTTTATCCTGTATATGTAGTCCCCCTTCCTGTTTTTCTGTAGTAGTTTTTTGTAGTTTGTAAAAATAATAAAAAATCCCCTCCGGGGGCTTAAAAAAAACAGTTAAAGGGATGGCCAATTGATACATAACTTAGCATAACTGACTATGTTCATTGTATTATTAGCTTTTAAAAATAACATTGATATAAGCTGATGTATTGATATCCTACTCTTGGGTTTTTAGTTAGTATGGGTCTTTTTTCTTTCTCCTTAGATGTAGTCCCCTTTCCTATATTTTTGGTTATAGTTTGTAGTCTGTTAAAAAAAAATCAATAAAAATTTCCCCTTAGGGGGATTCAAAAAAAAAAGTGGGAAGCTTGGGAAATATCAAGCAGGCAGTAGCCAGATTTTGGTATTTTAAAGATAGCTTTGGGCAGCAGTGTTCTCTCTAAGCTGTGCGTGTGAGCGGCTGCTCATGAACATGGGAAGCCCTGCTCAGCAGCAGTCTGGAGCCATGCAGGGTCCTGCACTGCCCATTGCCCATTTTAAGATTACAGCAATTATATTCTGCTCAGGAGGTGAACTGTTCCACTAAGTCGGGGGTAAAATTAGAGGGAACACTGTTGGGCAGTAGATCCTGAAAGAACACTGTCTTTTTCTCTTCTTGGACTCTCCTTGGACTTCTCCCCCAGTATTCCATCCATCTCTAGTCTTAACCCCATTGAGATTCATCTATATGCTCATCATTCTGCCATTACTGCAGATCTTCGGGATCAGTATACTGTTGTCTCCAGGATTGGCCAAAGGGGGAGGGGGGATTTAGAAACATGACATCCCATTTTTGAGAAATAAATTTTTGAGAGTGGGATGGAAATTTGTCCTCTGAGATAGCTGTACAGTCCAAGAATCTTCCTTCTCTTGAAGCCCAATTGACAAACACACAAATTTGCTGAATCTCCAGTTAGTGTAGCCAGAGCAACTGGTGAAATTAATTTTAAAATTTGCATCCCAACCCCAAGGGTCCTTTCTGAAATGCATTCCACAGTGGGGAGCTTGTATTTTTAGAAGCATGTTCACATTAGCGCTTTGGCTTTAGAGGAGAGAACTCCAACCATGGAGTAATTTAAACAACAACTGATGAAGAAAGAGGTGAGAGAGACAAAACAACATTTTAATTGACAATATAAAGGCTAAAGACCAACTCCAGGGCAAAACAAGATACATTTTTCTCTCTCTAAACTGGGGGGGAAAACATCAAGTGGAATTTTTGCTACTGAAGATGAAAATGAGCACTTGAAAAATAATTTCTTGGAGAATCAAAAGGAGGAAATTGAGGTCATGCTCATCAAAGAAGAGGGAAGGAAAAGATTTGAAGCAGTCAGTTAAGTATTAGGAAGACGACTCCCAGCTGACATGAAAGCTTCTTCTTATGGGCTGTGGCTTTCTGAATTATTATTGAAAGATGGGTTCCAATAATTAAAGAAAGAGGATTGGAAGCTCTTGCTAAGGAAACCTCTTGGTATCTCTGCTGCCAGTGACTTGCACTATCAGGCAATGGCCTTGAACTGGGAATGCTGTAGGGCCCGAGCATGTAACTCTTCACCACCATAAATGTTCACTGGAGGAGGGCAGCTGCTGCTGTTCAGTGCCACCCCAGCAGATGGCGAGAGGGAGATATTACAACAACTAAGTTAGCAGGGACCAGCTGATACTAGGGACCAATGCTGTTCAGCTGGTTCCTATAAATCTGCTGACTGGCCACCTCCTCAGTCTGAGCAACTCATTGCTCAAGGACAAACCGAGCTCTTAGAAAGCATGCCGGCTTCCATGCCAGCACCTCTAACCCTTGGAGTCACTATCTGAAAGTTGCATAGAGAGCTCTGGTGCAGGGCCAGCCTGGCTTCCTCAACACCCAACCCGTTGCTTGGGGGCAGCAATGTTTGTAGGGTCAGCAGTGAAGCATTCAGAAGTGGGATTCCAAAGTCCTCTTCACAATTGCAAAGGACTTTGCAGAACCATTTTGGTTTGCTTGGTGAAGCCTTGAGCTAACACTGCTCCGAAGCTATTGCAACTGCCTTCAAGCAATCCTACATCCTCTTCTGGCCAGCCTGTGAGCCCATGAGGCATCAACCAAGACCCATGAACACATGAAGCTGCCTCCGGTTGAGTCAGACCACTGGTCTCCCAAAGTCAGCATTGTCTAACCTGTCTGGCAGCAGCTCTTCAGGGTCATAGCTAGAAATCTTTCACATCACCTGAAATCTGCACCATCACCTGGAGAGCCAGTTCGGTGTAGTGGTTAAGTGTGCAGACTCTAATCTGGGAGAACAGGGTTAGATTCCCCACTCCTCCACTTGCAGCTGCTGGATGACCTTGGGCAAGCCATAGTTCTGAGAAGAGCTGTCCTTGAAAGGGCAGTTCTTGAAAGAGCTCTTTCAGCCTCACCCACCTCACAGGGTGTCTGTTGTGGGGAGGGGAAGGGAAAGGAGTTTGTAAGCCACTCTGAGACTCTGAGTGAAGGGCAGGGTATAAATCCAATCTCTTCTTCTTCTTTTACCTGGAGAAGTCAGGGATTGAACCTGGGAACTTCTGCGTCCCAAGCAGATGCTCTACCACTGAGCCACAGCCCCTCCCAAAGACCTGCAGAAGTAGAAAGTAGATTCTTGGTCTCATAGCAGAAGTTCAAGTATCACAGGCTGGTTGACATTGCCTCTGTGTCATGGGGTGGGGGACATAGCCAGTTCTTCTGTCCTCCCACCTTTGCCTTCCAGTCTGCAGTGTGTAAGCAAAGCCTTTCCCCTGGCTGCCTAACATGCTTGCAACCCCACATAATAGAATCATTCAGGCAGAGGACTCAGAAAGCCCTCCCAAAGTCAGAGGAACAGTGTGCAGTGACTGGCAGAAATTGAAACATGGAGCACAAAAAACACCCAGCAGGACAATCCCCCTACCTGGAAAATCAAAACCAGACAAGGCATCAAAATAACCATCAGATTAGCACCTAAAATGTCAGAAATAATTTTATTCAGATCAGGAGCACGTCCAGTATTTAGGAGTTGGCTTTGTATGGAGCCAAATCTTGATTAGCAAACATCCAACTTATCCATACCAGATTGTACCCACCCATCGTATTCTCCAGTGAGGACAACAGCTTTTGGCAATGGAAGAGCCAGTTCAGACATCTTCACCTAAACTGCCCCTCATAGTTTATGGATAAAATCCAAGCAGCCCCTTCTTAGAAGCTCGTTCTGGGTGGGGACTCCATTCCCACCTCCTTTCCCTTAGAACAAGATCAGCCATCTCTTGAGGCACAGCCTACCTGTAATCCCATCTAAGCACCTGAAGATACAATAAAGACAGGGAAGATTGATAGGATCTCTTGTCTTTAGCAGATCACTTGGGTGATTTCAGTACAACATGCTCCTCAAGGAGGGAACAAGACTAATTGCTTTGATCGTACATTGACAAATGTTCCCTAACACACCTTTATGTGGTGTCTTCTTGGAACCCACAAAAAAGAGAACTTCTAGCAAGCCTAATTTGATCAGCTGCATCCATCATCCTCTTCGCTAGGTTTTGCTGGACTGGCTCATGTGCTACGGGAGTGGTGTCGGAATCCCATCCTCCCACACAAATCTAGAAATGTTTGCATGCAGGGCAACCAGAGTGGCTGCAGTGGTGTTGTTCCTTCCCATCACTATCAGCAGCTGAGACTTCGGTGGCTGATAGATGGAATGTATAGGAATTTAGTCAGTGAGGCAGCACTGCAGGGGATTGCAGAGAAACCAGCCACAGCTACCGGGAAAAATTCCATGAACTAATAATTAATAGTTATCATATGGCCAGGAGATGTTAAGATTGTCTGGCAGCCAGAAGTTCTAGGTCTTTTAGCATTGTGTACCACTAGGTGACAAGCTAGACTTGTTTTTTTTTAAGGCAAGAGATGTTTCAAAGGTGGTTTGCCATTGCGTGCCTCTGCTTCATTATCCTGGTATTCCTAGGAGGTCACCCATCCAAATACTAGCCAAGGCCGACCCTGCATAGCTCCTGAGATCTGATGAGATCAGACTAGCCTGGGTGATCTAGGTCAGGGCTTCCATGAGCTGTCAGAGCAGATCAGCTGAATCTCTCTGATGATGACTATAAAGCCTACCTGGCTGCTCTGTGCAATGACAGTCTTCCCTGTCTCCTTCCCATGCTTTTCTTCATTCTCAGCTACACAGGAGCTGGTTCCGAAGCTCACTTTCTTTCCAGAGGGATAGCTGTGTTAGTTAAGAGGGAAGGTGGCATGAGATAGCCTGACCTCATCAGATCTCGAAAGCTAAGTGGGGTTGGTACTTGGAAGGGAGACCTCCAAGGAAGGATCCGCAGAGGAAGGCAATGGCAAACCACCTCTGCTTCTCACTTGCCATGGAAGCCCCTTGCTGGGGTCGCCATAAGCTGGCTGTGACACAGATATGTTAGTTGCAGTAAAAATAAGCAAGGGTCCTGTGGCACCTTAAAACCTAGAAAGACTTTATTCCAGCATGCTCAGTCATGAACTAGAGCTAAGCTCATCAGAAGCATGTTGTGGCCCTCCTCACGTGGTCCCCACATCCCAATAGTGCCATGGAAATGTGGAAAGGAGCAATAGGGCTGAGGATGCCTTGTTGTATGACTTGTCCCTTGGATTTCCAGCCTTGGCAGTGATCCACAAATAGAACACTTTAAGACTTTTATTCAGCAGTTAATGTTTCAAAGAAAGAGATAAACCCTTTCTTGGCTACTATAGGCAGCTCCTGTCGATGAGGATATCAGAGGAGATCTGTGTATTACAGGAACAACATTGCTCACTGGTGTTTTCGCAGTCACACATTTTTATGTATAGCCTTAACTCAGTAAATGTCTAACTAAATCCCTAGTGCCTTTGAGTCTGTTCTTGGGTAGCAGGGTTTGGCACTGGGAGAGAAGCTGCCTGTCAGAGTAGACACTGCTGGGCCCGCTGGGCCGATGGCTTAAGTCACATATAAGGTAGGTTTTTAAATGAAAAAATATAATGGGCCACAAGACCTAGCTGGCGAGCTGAGTTTGCCCTGGTAGCTCACAAGTTACACAGGCCTGATTAGTCAAGCCCGGGCAGTCAGCCAGAGCCTCTGGTCTTAAAATAATATAAAGGTCTCGGCCACGACTCTGAGTGGTCAGAAGATAAACGACAGCAGATGAAATTGGGAATGCTGGAACATGACGCGTACTCAAGTCCCTAGAATGATGGGGTCCTTGTCTGGTGCTGACCTGCAAGATAATGCATTCCCCAGGGTGGGCAGTTAGCCTTCCCAGGCTGCTGCACAGCTATAGCCTGAATAAAAAGCCCTGGAGCATGGAGGTTTTTTGCCTGCCAGTAAAATGCCTCTTTTTTGTCACAACTTTAAAAGTTTGCCCACATAAACTGCTGATGTTGCTGAAGCCTCTCCTTGGCTGCTGACAGGGATCTGCAGGTGGATAAAAATGAGTTGAATCCAAATCCTGTCCATTCTTCAAAACAGTTAATCTAACAGCAATATTTTCTGACATTTGCCTTACAGTGAGGCAGCCTGTTTGGTCTATCAAGGCCATTGTTGTCTACTGTGATGCCTCTCCAGGGTCTCAAGCTGAGGTCTTTCTCTCTCTCTCTCTTTTTGCCGCCCCCCCCCCCCCCCGGGGGGGGTTTTTTTTTTTTTTTTTTTTTTTATAAAAAAAAAAAAAAAAAAAATCCCCCGGGGGGGGGGCTAAAAAAAAGGTACACAGGAGTGTTTATGGTCATAATCAGCCCTCAGGAAATGGGATTAATTGAGCCAGACTTTCATAACCCATT